AATACGAATTTGGCGATTCTGGAAGTGTCATCGTCGTCGTCGATGATGAGCAACCTACCAACTCTATCATGTACTCCACGGACATGGGTCAGACCTGGTATGCTTTTCCGCCTGCCACTCGCTGTGTGTGCATATATGCGATCTTACTGAAACGCCTCGCCCTATAGGAACACGTACAATATTGAGATCCAATTCCGTGCTAAGGGCCTGACCACGGTATCGGATTCAACGTCTCAAAAGTTCCTCCTCCTCGGCCAGGTCGTGAGGCAGTCCCCACAGTCCAATGAAGGCCGTAACGCTGCCATCTACCTCGACTTCGCTGCCCTTGGGCGCCCACAGTGTGGTCCCAATGACAAGGAATCATGGTATGCAAGAGCCAATACCAAGTCAGAGTGCATCATGGGTGCCAAGGTTCGTTACTGAGATGTAAACCGTGTCATGAGAGTGGTCTTACTAATATACTTCGCAGCAATGGTACACCAGGCGCAAGGCTAATGCGGATTGCTACATGGGTGAGAAGTTCCATGATCCGGAAGTTCATGATGATAAGTGCCCATGCGAGGAACACGATTATGAGTGGTATGTTGTTCCTGGTTACTCTGCCCATCACAATTGCTTATGCGTTCTAGTGACTATAACTATGTGCGGAGTGATGATAAATGTGTGCCTTCGGGCCCAGAACGCATACCCAGTACCCAGTGTACCCTTGGGACGCCCGGCGAAACGTACATGGGTTCATCAGGATATCGCAAGATACCTGGGAACAAGTGTGAAGGTGGCTCTCGCATGGACGAGCCCATGTCTAAAGACTGTTCCGGAGGTGAGTGCCTCAGAGGTGATGGAGAATTTGTGTCTCATGCGTCATTTACAGCTGAACCTGTCGAAGGAGAGATTGTTTACCAGACTGTGTGTCTCTGTTCTGGCTTTTTTTCTCAGTATGGAAACTTACGATATTGTAGCATTCATTCGCTAGTGATATTGTACAGAGCGAGTTTTTCAAGGACTCAAAGGTGAGCGTCCTGTACATCGTACCATATCAATACCTCAGCTCACGTGTGCCTCCATAGACCGTCCTTGTCCGTCTTGCCGACTTCACGATATGGCAATCTAGTAACGAGGGTTACACATGGGAACAAAAGTTCCCAGAGGAGCGTTTCCTAGTGTTCTATATGCACACACACACCGACGACCGCGCATACCTTATCACCGATTCCAAGAGGTTCTACTATACAACAGACGCTGGCCGCTACTGGCACCCTTCCGAAGCGCCTTCGCCTCCCAACACCTTCGGGGCCCAAGTGATCCGCTTTCAGCCTAAGTCCGAGTATCTCATCTGGATTGGTAATGTGGACTGCCAATCAGGGTATCAAAACTGTCGCGCGCAGGCTCAGTACACATGGAATAATGGACGGGATTGGCGGTTGGTGGAGGACTATGTCGTCAACTGTGACTGGGCGCGCGATGAGGAGCTGCGGATCGATTCAACTCAGATCCTATGCGAGTCGTATGCGGACAAACAGGGCTCGCAGGCGTTTTTCGGGAAAGAGAATGCGTTGCAACTTGTGTCTGGGACGGACTATTATGCGAAGAAGACGAAGCTTTTTGACCATGTCGTGGGGTTCACCAAGTTTTCAGAGTTTTTAATCGTGGCTGAGGTGGGTTTTTTTGTTGTTCTGTACGTGCACTGTTGATTGACTACTTGTGTACTTGCAGTACCTCCCGACGAGGGGCACGCTTAATCTCCAGGTCTCACTTGATGGACGTACGTTTGCTTCTGGAAACTTCCCCCCTGGCATGCATCCAGATTCTCATGTAGGCAGTTCGCTCTAACCATACAAACGCCGGAATTGCTGATGATATTTTCTAGGCATACACTGTCCTTGAGTCAAGCACTAAATCCATCTTCCTACACATGACCATGAACGAATTTCCAACGCCATGGGGCAACATCCTGAAATCCAACTCCAATGGAACATACTTTGGGCTGTCCATCGATAACGTGAATAGGAACAATGGCGGCTTTGTCGACTTTGAGAAGCTCGTGGGGTTGGATGGTATTGCAATTATCAACATAGTAGCCAATCCTGCGGAGGCTGCACTGACGGGACACAAGGTTCTGCAGACGAGGATTACGCATAATGACGGTATGCCTTTTTATGGGTATCTTTTGCCTCTCGCTGACGGTTGCTTGTTGTGTCAGGTGGCACTTGGAAGCCGCTTCTACCCCCTTCAGTAGATTCACTGGGTGTGAAGTACCCTTGTACATCAGTGGTATGTCGTGCTTTATTGATCATCGCTGTCAATTGACTTACTGTGTCGTATGTAGGGCTGTGCACTCCACGTTCACGGATATACAGAACGCTTCGATGCCCGGGCAACATATAGTAGCCCATCCATCGTCGGCGTGGTGATGGCAGTCGGGAACGTGGGTGAATCGCTCGCCCCCTACACTGAGAGTGATACCTTCCTGTCCCGGGATGGCGGGTTCACATGGGAAGAAGTTCATAAGGACGCCCATCTCTGGGAGTTCGGCGATTCAGGGTCTATCATCGTGATCGTGAACGATGAGGAACCGACGGACCATGTCCTGTTCACCACAGATGAGGGTCTCACTTGGCGAGAATTCAAATTCACGACTGAGAAGATCAGGGTGAGGGATATCATGACGGTGCCAGAGGATACGAGCCGGAAGTTTATGCTCCTGGGTCGTTATCCCGCGACGGCTGGCTCGGTGATTGTACACTTAGACTTCTCATCTCTCACGCATCGAAAATGTGAGTTCAGTGCTCTTTTACTCGATGATTGATGTTGAACTCACTCTTCCAGGCCTCGTGGATGCGGAAAACCCTGGACACGATGACTTTGAGCTATGGAGCCCCAGCGAAGAAAGAGACTCACTTTGCTTGTTCGGTCGACAGGTATGTCGCCCAAACTTATATTTTCCTTTGTCACCTATATCATATACAGACGCTCTACCACCGCCGTAAACGGGATGTGAATTGTGTTGTTGGAGACACGCCCAAGGCACTAGACAACATTGTACAGAATTGTACATGTGCGCTGGAGGACTTTGAGTGGTGAGTCACGGGTATGATACCATCTGCTCAGAACTAATTTCAATCTGGGTACGAAAAACAGCGAATTCAACTATGTCCACAATGCGGAAGGCCAATGCGTTCTTGTACCGGGGATGACAGCACGACCGCCCGATGATTCATGTCGCAATGGGGAAGACTACTGGTATGAACGCACGGCGTACCGCAAGGTGGACTACTCTAGTTGTGAGGGCGGCGACCGCATAGATCGAGGCACACGACACTTGTGTCCTGGTATTAATGGCCACAGCGCGACATTCTGGATGATGGTAATTTTATTCCCTTTTGCGATCACAGCGCTTGTCGCATGGTGGTGGTACAGCAAGAGCGGAATGGCGAGAGGGCAAGTGAAATCTACTTCACGTGTGCGTCCTATGCTTATTGTTGATACACAGGACGATCCGTTTACCCGGAGGCGACTATTCGCATGGGTCAGGGTCTGGTGCGATGGCTACGCTGGCATCTGTGCCATGGTTCCTTCTCGGACTTGCGGGCATCGCATTCGAATATATAGCGTCAAGCCTTGAATCTGTATCGATGGGCTACCGCGCGAGGCGTGGATATAGGGATGTACCTGTAGACGAGGATGCGCAGGTCTTGCGTTTTGAGGATGAGGAATGAGCAGGGCACAGGTCATACTTAGACAAGACTGCCTCGACTATATATTAATAGCTCATACTTGTCCTTGTAGGTCATAGCCAATCGCTTTCCTATGTATTCTGGTTCTTATTTATCATGGCTTCATCCAATGGTACTTAATCGAGCGCATGAATTGGACTAAGAGGATGACATTAGTACTTTGCAGTAAATAACACAGCGAATACAGTGATAGCAGGTATACATAGGGTGATCGTCCAAATTCGATCTTTTGATTAGTCTATAACACCAAGATGATCTTCCTTGATCGTTCCGATGGCGAACTACCTTGTGTTAACAGGTGTAGTCATACTAAAATTTAAAGACTCACAATTTCGGTAGCATCAACGCGCGTTCCCACAATTTTTAGCCGTACACGAGTGTTCTTCTCGATGATCTGTTCGAGACAAGGTAGGGACATTAAGGGGACCGTACATAAATGGACGATACCTGGTCCTCTGATGCAAAGGATGGTGGATTTGAGGTCGGATCAAATTTCATGTCAGGATGTATCAGCTAGGAATAGTGCGAGATGTTGAGCGAGGCAGGAAGGAGCAGCATTCAAACTCACTTGATGAGACACGAAAACTGTCAATGGCCCGACGTCAGCAAAGAAGCCCATCTACGTGCTATTCAGTACGGATCGGTAAAAAGAAAAAGGTATGGAGCACCTTGTTAACGTTATTCACGACCCCATCGACCACTTCTCCTTTGAATGGCTTGAAGACTATTGCACGATAGCGGGTGATAAATTCGGCCTGGCCACTTCCGCTCAGTACCATGCCTTTTCCAATATCCAGGATGGAGACGACAGCAATAATGTACCCGAATGCGCCTGAACATGTTCCTTCTACGTCTGAGTAGAGTTTTGACTCGAGGAACTGGAGCATCCGAGGGCCAAAATATGACGGATGGAGAAGAATTGTGTGCGTCAACTCTTTCTGAGCATTGAAATTTGGTTATAACGGATTGAATGGTGATGGATCTCTCGGAGAGAGGTACTCACAATAAAGAACATGTTGGCTCGGTTAACACACGAGCAATCGTGTTGATGGATCGCAGAGCGTAGTAAGAATGCGGCAGATGACGTAATACAGCCTGTACCCTATAGTAGCAGGCCACAACCTCACTGGGCACCCACAGCATCATCACTAGCCTGTCGAACATTCAACTAAAGGTCTGCCGTCCCTGTGACGTGCAAAAGAGTACTAACGAACGCATAGAACCAAGTTAGATGGTGCTGAAGGCAACAAGAATATACAAAAAGATTGGCCAACGTGGGGATCGAACCCAAGACCTTCGCGTATCGAAGTTTCCCGGCGAGAGCGAGATAGTTTACCGGTCACACTCACACCGAGCACCCGTATTAGCACGACGCTCTAACCAACTGAGCTAGTCGGCCTTGCTTCGCAATAGTATGGCAAAGGTCACAAAGGGTTGGATAACTTTCTCGTTTTTACATAAGAATTATCTGACTTTCACGCGAAACACGCGATAACTATTCTTGAACGCTTTACTACTATGCTTCTATGGCGTCCACTCTTAGCTGCACATCATGTTTGAAATACTTCGATCCAAAAAAATATTAGGTGAGCCCGGTAACCACTATTGTACAAATACACTATTACTTCTCCACCTTCGTACTATGCTAATGATACAGATTTGAAATGATAATGGGTTGGGCTAAGCAGATTGACCGCGTTACACGATCGCAATTCGCTGGGGTTGCTGGTCTGGTCCAGCCTTCGCGAAGGACACAGTAAGCACTCCATTCTCCATCTTTGCGTGGACATCCTCAGCCTGGAGGGTACAATAACTGTCAGCACCAGATCGCTACAAGGAATTCACATTGTGAGTGTGCTCACCTTGATTCCCTGAGGAATTTGAAGGGTCCTGGAGAATTTGCCATGAGAGCGCTCCCGCACCACATAGCTGCCCTTGTTATAATCATCCGAACATTTCGACTCTCCGGATATTGTCAGGCGATTTCCATGGACCTCGACATTGACATCCTGTTGTTTCATGCCAGGGAGTTCAAATGTTGCCGTGACCGTCTTGGTCTCAGCATTCTCGTGTAGATCCATTCTGTGTTGACGCGAGTCAACGACATAACTTACATTGAAATTGAGATCATGCTTACTTAGGGAATGCCCGATCACGTCGATGAGTCAAGGTAGTATTACCCTCGATGGTAGGGAAGGGGTGGAAACGAGCATTGAAAGCATCGTCAAATAGCTTGTCGAACTCTGTGAATGGATCGTAGAATGTGCGCACTAGGGACATGATCAAGTGCAGAAATAGTAGATGTTGAGAAAAGGTGTTGTGATGGTTGTTATTGATTGAAGTTGAAGTTTGCTGAAGTCTGAGCGACTCTGAGCAGCATTTATATACATGTCCATGACAATATAAAAGAAAAGTTTGTAACGCCCACGATGATACGGGTGTCTTCCAGAAGTTACGCGGTATGTGATTGAATGACGATCGACGACATTCTGTAATATTCGAGATTGGTTCCAAGTTGAGAAGCCGTTAATAAAGCGTCGAGTTCCTTGTTTGAACACAAAAGTCCTGTTTACATATATTTTGTTTATTACTAGAAAGGAAAGTTGGACTAGTCCCACTGGTCGGGCGCGCTGCTATGTGGAGAACCTCAGTTGACAATCGAATATCCGGAAACTGTGCCAGGGCGATGCACCTCCAGAAGAGCACAGCTGCTCGCATACAGACATGCGGGGGTATGCATCAAGCGAGAAGAGTGCAGGCCCATCAGCGTCTAACTTATTCCCATGCTCCCTGTGCTGGTGCTGCGCTCAGGCCAGCGCTGAAGACATATACTGTGATGCGCTTGTGTTTGCGGCCGTGTTCAGGTGTGTCGAGATGAAAAATGTGGATTTAGAGAAAATATAAAGACGCAAAGTTACGGGAAACTTTGTACTGTTCAGGAAAATCAATCTTGGGAATCGGATGTCCACAATGCTGCCTGGGGGACACCGGCCCTCTAATATAGAGCTTGGCGCTTTCAATACATATTCAATGTCCCACTGACTGTGTTTATGTCTGCCATACCATCAAAAACATGACAACAGTAGGGGACGAGAAAAACTCACTTCGTACCTTCAGTTGTCGCGACCTTTGAATGGAGTTGCCCACAGCATTACCCTTCTGAAGGTCACTGTGCAGATGAGTGGTTCTTGAATAATAACGATGAAAGCAATCGACACTGATCTGAATAGCCTTGACTGCGTCGCTGCGAGTCATTCCTGCGTTGAATTGGTCACATCCCCCTTCAATAAACGTCACCACCTGTGATCATAAAATTGCCAACTCCAAGCCGACTCCTATTCGTTAGATTTCTTCCGAACTTTGTTTCTTGACCACACGCTAGCAAAAAACATGCAGACATTTAACTCTCTCTCATCGGCCTCAGACATCATCGATGCACTGCACAACACCGTAAGTGCTGATCTTTCCATTCTTCTTTGCAGGTAATAACTTTTCGCTTCAGCTGCGTTCACGGGTAGTTGTAAGTGTATCTTTGACTCCATGTGCATTGTGAATATCTGATGTGACATTGACCACTCATAGATTCCAGACCTCGCCACCCCGTTCTCCCGAGCTAGCGTCCCGAATACCTACCTCCCTACCACCGATTCCAACAGCGAGAGCATCAGCATCATCCTCACTGAGCGTCAGCAGCAGCTGGATGCAGTGTCGTGTGAGATCTCAAGTCTGGAAACAGTCATGGACGATATAAAAAATTTACGCCAGCAACTCGTCGAACGGAAGGAAAACATTATTCAGTCCATGACTTTTCACAAGGGACTCAGATCGGCTATATGGCGCTTGCCTGCTGAAGTCTTATGCCACATTTTTCATCACTGTCTTCCAGAAGACAAATATTTGTCATCCACATCGAACCTGACCCCCATGTTGTTGACCAGAATATGCCGACCATGGAGGGAAGTTGCTGTTGATATGCCCAGTTTATGGTGAAGGTTGCATGTTGAATTCAACGTCACCACACCAGGCAACAGGATTTTGTATTTCACCACGACGACGACGACGACGACGACGACGACTACCACGACGACGACGACGACGACGACGACGACTACCACTACTACAGAAGAGTCGAGAAGGGGTCAGATGTTGAAGTCGACCACAGAGCCTGGCAGCGAGCAGTTTTCCACTATGAGTCCGCTCTCAATAGCACTTGTGCGCTACGACTCAACTGCGCTCTTAGGAGACCTTCTTCAGCCTTACATGGATCAAATTTCATTTCTCTCCATACTTTTTCCCCACAGAGTGGGCAAACCACAACTTTTGTTAAAAGACATGCCAGCACTTCGAGAGCTGGTCATATCAAACATGCCACATGGTTGTGACATTTTGACTATGGCGGAATATATCTCGCAACTCCCGTCTACAATGCACGTTCTCGATGTCATAGACTCGCCGCTTGACATCAATGACCTATATTTTCTCGATCCCGTATGGACACACCTAACACAAGTCAAGATCACCTTTTCTCGTCAGGATGCATTTCTCCATTTGCTCCATTTATGCCCCAACCTTTCCTCATTGACGGTTGAAGTAAAATTCGACATCCTTTCCCGGTTGAGGGTTGAAGCAGATGTAGATCGTCAACAAACCTTGGAACCATTCACACACACCAACCTCCAATTCCTGTGCATACGTTATGGTGACTCTGGGGCGTTGCTAGCTCGCTTGTCAAATGCTTTATCACTCCCCAGTTTGCGCGTGTTTCATGCTTGTGCTTGCAACACTCGCAAGATTGGACAGTGGCCTCACAAGCAGTTGATAGATCTTATTGCATGGTCAAATTGTCCCTTGGAGCGCTTGAGTTTCTGTGGGTTTGCGGAGATGAATGTGCGGCGAGCACAGTATGTTGCCCTCATTCCTTCCCTCGACGTAGTGTGCCAGTGGCCTTATAATTCAACATAAACAAACGATAATCACTAGGGGAGCTCATCTCATGAGGACCCATTTTCTAATGTTGTGGCAGAGAATGTCACTTGCGGAGGCATGATTGCAAATCTCATACTGAAAGCGGCGGGAGAAACGAGAAAATGATGGTACGACGCTGGACGACACATCTACCAGTAGTGGCAGCAACGGCGCCTACGTCAGAGTCCTCTTCACGGAGTATATTGACCCACTTGTTCAAGTTGCTATGTAAAAGATACCTGCGCCGGAAACGAGTGTTAAACAATATGTATATATATATTTATTCGCACTTGACACCATGCATGGTATCCGAGTCAGCGTCTCCATAATTAGCTCGGGGAGGCTGTAAGATGGAAGAATTCCTATCCATCGGGTTGTTATTGACTTTCCGTCGTAGAGATAAAGTTTGGCTGCGCACATATACAGCCCGTTTAAATGTAGGTTACGTTATGACTTAGCTCCTAGTGCAAGCTTGCGATGTCGGACAGGTGAATTATGCTGTTGGCATCGATGATTCAATATATCCTGTGCAGTGCAGATGCAGCAGATCTCACTTCAGTACTCAGTTTTCGCTGGCCTGAGAGGTACCGGTGACAATGTGGCAGTGTTCTAGCGAAATGAAAATCAACGTCCCTTGTATAATATCCTTATCGAGAAGAAGTTCAAATTTGGTTTGGTTCAACTTGTTCTTTGACCAACATCTTCAACTGCAGCAGCGTCTTTTTCGATTTTAACGATGGTCACCTATTCTTCTTTCTTTTCTTCTGGTCTTCTCGCGCCTTACCATCCAAGAGCAACAACTCCTGCACCACCTTCCTCGCCCATGCCAATACCATCCAGTCCCATACACCCTGTCGATCGCGATCTGAGCGTGACGCCCACACCCGGTGGCAACTCAAATAATGTTGTTGCAATACCCACTGCGAATGTTGACCGTCCTCGCATGCGCAGGCGTCGCAGTAGCATGAATATAGGCGCGAATCCAATGGCTCTTATCAAATCCCCGACGCGAAATGCGGGCAGCGCGCTTCAGCGCACTGGCATCATGTCTCCCACTCGGAGTCGTGCAGGCAGCGTCGCGGAGAGCGCTTCAGAATCCAGCAGTCTTTTCGGAAGATTAAGGAGTGGCAGTCTAAACGCAGGCCCTCCACTGCGGTGAGTGGCTCCAATGCCTGTAACTGTATGTCTTCTGATATTCATGTTGTGTAGCCTACGTCGTGCAGTCAAGCGAACCGTCCCACTCGCTCCGCCTCCTACTGTCCCTCTCCCTCCACTTCCACCGCCATCACCATTACCATCTGCAAAATACACGCGTACTCTCGCGCCTCCCGCGCTCATCATACCTGTTCCTCGCCAACCCCTCATGAATTATCTCATATCCGGTCCTAACGCTTCCGGATTACTTAGCCCTGATTCTGCGATGCACTTCTCATC